GGGGGGCAGCTGGGGGAATAAGGCAAAACATTGGAAATGAAGCCTTTGACGATGCTCGCCTCATCAGCCCATGCAGCCTTGTACCTTGTAATTTGGAGCCGGGGGATGTTGATGGACTTTCGCATGTCTTTTTGCGCGGCGAGCCGGCCACCCGCGCTAAGCGGAGCGAACGACAGTTTAGTGGTCGCTGGGCGCTCCTTGTCGCGAGCGGGCGAGAGCGAGCGAGAGGTCGGAGGGGGCTCGGCTATTGCAGGGTGATGATCCCAAAACGCCTCCCGCTCGGCAAAGTGCCCCATTAGGATTGGGTTTCAAAGTCCCATTTCCGGGTGAGACCAAATCACCCCGCTGGGAAGGAGGGGGGGAGGGGGTAAAAAAGACAAAAGCCATAGCAAAGCAGGCCGAACTCGAGAAAGCAGCAGCAGCGGGGGTTGGTTCGAAAGAAAAGGCGCGAAAGGAGAAAAATACGCCTTGCCTCGTCGAATTTTGGCGATGATTTCCGAAATGAGGGTCTCGTCCGAGTTGAGCCGCTCGCGACATTTTTTTTGTGTGGCCTGCTGTCGTCCTGTGTTCATCTCTTCTTCCCCCGGCCTCGGCCGGGTAACGGTGAGACAGATAGCATCATACACTGCACTGGACACTAGCCCCTGACCCAGATCCTGTGTTTTACCGCAGGGGAAAAAGGCAACACGAACGAAAATTATTGTTATTATTGTTGTTGGCCGAAAAAGATGGGGAGGAGGGGTTGGGCAGAGGAGTCATGCTCGAAAGAAACAAGGTGGAGAGACGCACCCGGGAGACGCTCATTGTATCAAATTACTTTCTAGAAAGTGCAAAACACCCCCATGACTACTGGGAAGCGACCCGGAGTGTCAGCTCTGCGAGACACAATAACAAGGCTCACCTCCTCATCGATTTCAAGAAAAATTCCCGGGGCAGCAGGTAGCAGCGAGAATCACATGGCAACAAAAACCGAAAGCCGCGGAGAGAGGGTCACGACGACGACCCCGTGTCTTTTTAGTTTTCGACCAAAAAAAATATCTCGGTGACATTTCCTCCCGCTGGAAGCGCTGCGCGGCACTCCTCAAACCTCCCCATTCATCTCATCCACAACGATTATGCCATCGCCTCTCAACTCTTTCGGTGCTCGGCTGGCCAGCGGCCGGCCGGCCCGGCTTTGGCAGAGTGAGACTTAGTCCCGGGTAGGAGTAGGAGAGAGAAGGTAAACAGCGAAACGTCGTCGTCGGCGCGCCGTTCACGTTTTTCGGTGCGCGGAGGCTTGGCAGGGCTGCTCTGCTGGCCGCACCGCGAGCTGCATTTGTGTCGTTGCCCCCGGCGGCCGGGCCCGGGCCCGGGCCGGCGCTCCAGACGTCGCGAGGGCCGCGCTGACCACTGCTCCTCCTAGGCGAGCAGGGGCGCCCGGGCCCGCGCCAGACACCTGAGCGCCGAGGTTCCCCAAGGAACAAATCAAAAGCAAAAACCTAAAAAATAAATAAATTTAGAGTGTGCTTTTGGTGCGGGTCGCGAGGCGCTAAACGCAAACACTAAATTCTCTGAAGTGCAGCGGCCCTCGTCGACAAGCCATTTACAAAACTCGTTGCCTTTTTTGGGCTTTTCAGAAACGACGAGGACGTTGGAGGAATGCTAATATTGTTGTTCCTCATAACATTTCTACCAAGGGGTTACAAATAGTAAGCAGGCGTCCTCATGGAATCTTTCATATTTGGACCAACCCCCCTAAAGTGCACGCGGTTTCTGAGCAGCCCCTTTCAACCCCCATCCCCTCCCCCTCTTCCCCGTCGGTCCTCCCCCACGGCGGGGGGATATCGCGTCCCAGATCGTCGCGCGGCCGGGCGCCGCGGCCCGCCTAGCGGGAACACGGACGGGGGAGGCAGAAAAAAGGCGACGCGGCCAGCCTGTATGAGCCGGCGCCCATCTATTGTTTGATCTAGACCTGATTAATCCGACCGATAATCCCGGGGCAAGGGGGGAGAAAGAAGCGAAGAAAAGGGGGGGAGGAGGAGGAGGATGAGGAGGAGAGGATAGGTCCGAGGAGTCGTGGGGGCTCGCCTGTGCGGTAGAGGGTAGCGTAAAAAAAGGATTTGAGATATTGAAATGGCGGGTATGCGGAAAAGTTGTCTTTTTAGATGTAGAATTCAGTGCAATTTTTTATTTTGAGATCGGACAATATTTTCCGATCGCGCAACGAGTTCAAAGTTATGCATTAGCTCTTATGGGAAAAATCGTCCAAAACCATGAAAAAATGAAAATCGAAAATTTGGGCTTTTTATGTGATGTTTTTTGAAAATCTGTTTTCAGAAATGCAATCTACGCCATAAAAGGCATACACTGATGTGTCACACTTGATATTATAGTGAGCGGTTCAGTGCCGGCCAGGTATCAATTTAAGCCCAAATTGCATCAAATTGCACAAAAGTCATCAAATTATGCAGCCTACACCGCCTACACCATGGGTTGCAATAGCAAGTGTGATACATCACCGGATGCCTCTTTTGGCGTAGATTGCATTTCTGAAAACAGATTTTCAAAAAACATCACGTACAAAGCCTAAATTTTTGATTTTCATTTTTTCATGGTTTTTGACGATTTTCCCCATAAGAGCTAATGCATAACTTTGAACTCGTTGCGCAATCGAAAAATATTGTCCGATCTCAAAATAAAAAATTGCACTGGATTCTACATTTAAAAAGACAACTTTTCCGCATACCCGCCATTTCAATATCTCAAATCCTTTTTTTACGCTACCCTCTACTGTGCGGGCAGCCTTCGGGATGAGAGCCTCCGTAGCGTCCGGACAAGCCTTTCGGACGGGCCGGTGGAGCCCGCCCGCGCCCGCCCCTGGCCGGCCGGCTGCAGCGGCGGCGGCCCAGAGAAAGACGCCCGGCAAAAAGAGCAGCCGATTCGTTCTGCGCGCCACTCTTGCAGGCGTCTTGTGTCGTCGCGGTGGGGCGGGGCGGGGTGCGGTGGGGTACGGGGGGCGCAGGGCGTGGCTGGGCATGACAAGGAACAGGAGCAGCGGGGCACGCAATCCGCCGTCAATTTCACATTTCGGTAGGGACAAAAAGGAAAATTCCGCCAAAAAATGAGTTTTCTATTACGGAACATGAATAGAGTAAGTTTACCCGTTATTAAATTTGACGACATACAAGAAATTCGAGCTGGGCAGTGAACAGTTCCAAATGCGACCGCCTGATCCCGTACTTAAAGGCGCCACCACAGATTGACAGGTGATGTTGTGCTTCACGGGAGAGGAGTGGTAAATTGCGAGACGGGGCGGGGTTGGTGGGGGCAGAAGGGGGGAGGGGAGGCGAGTCGAGAGAGGGGGAGAGGAGGGAGGGGAAGCCCGCGATTGAAACGTCTGGGAGGCGCTTTGCGACGCCCTGTGACGGCGGCCGTGTCGGTCTAGGCTGACATAGGCGCTCTCTGCCTGTCTGTCTGTCTGTCTGTCTGTCTGTCTGTCTGTCTGTCTGTCCGTCCGTCCGTCCTTCCCTCTTTCTTCTCCCGCCCCGCAGCCGAGCCCGCGGCACACTGACATGGCGACAATAACAGCCGCGCCATGTGTCCGGCCCGACTGATGTCTTGTTCAACCACAAGTAGTCTGTTGGGTTCAACTCCCACCGCTCCCTAACGGATTTCCTTCACACCGCTGAGGCGTCGTCATGACGCCCCGTTAAGGTCTCGTTGTATTTCCCGCCGATATAGTCACAGTGGTAGCGAGCGTTCGTCTTTAGGGCCCACGTGGACGTGGAGCCCATAGGGTCGATAGCAGATACAATTATCTCGGCGGCTGGCCGGCCGGCCGCAGACAGGGGGCCTACGACGTAGGCCGACCCGCTCCACTGGCGTGTCAGCCGGGCCTGCCTACCTCCGAGGCGCTCCGCGAGCCGCAGTGCAGTGTACACTCACGTGTGTAGACGCTCTCTCTCTCTCTCTCTCTCTCTCTCTCTCTCTCTCTCTCTCTCTCTCTCTCTCTCTCCGTGTGTGGTGGAGGACCCATCCGGCGGCCGCACTCGACGCGCGCTGCGGGCCGAACACCGTCGGCGGCGGCGAGTTGTTTGGAGCAGCAGTCCGAATGACTGGCGAATGCCAAATCATGGCGGATCCGCGATCATTGGAATCCACGCGGCCTGCTGCCACGGGCCGGCGCCGACACGGCACCGTTAGCGCCTCGTTGGCGTGGGGGGGGGGGGCAGAGGAATGGGCAAGGGCGGCAGCAGCTGCTGCAGCAGCAGGACAAACACAACCTATTTCCTAAATAACGCCTCTGCTTCTGGACCACGGCGCACGCTGCCGGGTGACCACCTACTGCTCGCCGCGCCCCGCCACCCGCTGCTCAGTCATGTCATGGAATCGGGCAGGGCGGTGGCAGCGGCGTAGCCTTCTCTTCGTATGCCAGTATTTAGTCAACCCCGCCTCCTTCTCCCCCTTAAAATAAGGCAAAAGGGATAGCATTGGAGACTTCGTTTGTCTAGTATTTTCTACTGTAAGAAAAAATCGCAAATTTAAATCAAATAGGTTACTTGACTTCCAGTGATTTAAGGTATCATCCAAAACATTAAACAGCTCAAAATAAAAAAAAATTGCCACAGAAACGGGTAACGCTGTGTTTTGCACATCAACACTGACACCCGCCACGCTGCGCCTAGAAACGCAAAGTGTGTAAATGTCACACAATTTGTAAGGTTTGTGAATGCCCAATCCGTACACTTACGTGAGCAAATGTGTGAATTTTCCTGAGCAATTGTCGCCTCTATATATGAATGAATATGGTTAACACACCTTCAAGTTTTTACCATTCCAAAACACTTTGGGGTTTCCGGTCCGGTGTAGCCCTCCGCCGCTGACTTTAGGCGATGCGCGATGCGGCAGCTTGGCGTGGACCCCGCACGGCACGGCCGCGGCGGGTCGCACCCTACCTTGGCTCTCCAAGGGGACGACCTCGCGCCGCTCTCCCCCCGCCCCGCCCCGCCCCGCCCTTCCCTTTCCGGGCGTCGCGACGCCACCGCCCGCTCTTGGGGTCGCGCGCGCCGCGGCCGCCGGGTCCGGCCGTCCCTTATACGTCGCTCCGTTAGCGCAGAGCTGGCGCAGAGCAGGCTGCGGGGCAAAGCGCAGCAGCGGTTACCCGTGCATGCAGTGATGGGCATGCCCTGCAGCAGGACCCCCCGGACACGTCACAAACGGGACACGGAAGCCACTTAATTTCCCATAGGATTACGGAGACAGGGCTGTGGCGACCGCGACCACACCGCACGCGCGACGGGTCTGTACGGCCGGAGAACAGCAGCAGCGACACGGGCGGATGGGGACGGGAGGATGTGGAAAGTATTGACAAACGAAATAATTGGGGTATTTGCGGCACTATGTTTGAAAAACTTGACAGGTTTCTCATACCGACTGGAACGTGTTCGGCGCGACAAATCAAAGTAGGACATCCGACAACAGTCGAATCATCGACTTTGTTTTACTATCATTTTACAAGTAGTATCCTATTCACATGACGCATTTGTTCACAATATTCTAAGCGGTTACTCACCGAGCTCTGCTCGCTGGCCTCGTGCGCCAGCAGCTCGCCGTGCGCCGTCTCGTTGGCCAGCAGCAGCGTGTCGTTGGCCAGCTCGCCGCTGGCCGTGCCGCCGCCGCCCGAGCCCAGGCCTGTGCCCGCGGCCGCGGTGCCCGCGGTGCCCGTGCCGCCGGTGGCCGTGCCGTCCGAGCCGCTCGCGCTGCCGGTGTACAGCGCGTTGGCAGCGTCCTCCGTCACGGCGCCGTCCACGGCCGTGCCGAAAGCCGTGTAAAGCTCGGTCGCCGACACCTCGGTCGTGTAGTCAGTCTGGCACAGCACCGCCTGGAGGAGAGGGAGAAGAAATACATGCGATGGGTTAGAAATTAAAAGAACATCAATTTTCGCGCACATGCAGATCTCACGCGAACACTACTGCATGTGCGGTGCGGATCGCGCGTCAGGATAGCTGCGCTGCTCATGCTGCCGTATTCCTCCTTGCCCCTCCCCTTTTTCCCACATCGGTCGCCGTTTCGTAAAACAAGGCCCAATTAACGCCCCACAAAAGTAAAACGAACTCGTGATGCCTCCGGGGACCCCGGGGGCTCAGGTCGTGACGGGGGAGTAGACTAGCACTAGGCCAAGCGCACCTCCGCGGAGCTCCGGGAGGAGCGAGAGAGAAAGAGCACTGCAACGAGAGCGGCAGGGACCCCCGTCTCTCTTGCACCCGTACCGCCCCGGGATCGACAGGATATACCGGTAGACAGACAGAACGAACGCAGCCCGCGAGCGTCGCTACCATTCCAAGATTATGCCTGCTCTGCAATTTCACTTTCATTTCATCAAAATGCCATTTGCAGAGCCTGAAAATTAGACCTCCTGACCTGACCGACTCTCTCGGCCCGACGACCGGACCCCCGCAGTGTGGAACCCCTCGGAGCCTGTTAAACTAAGGTCAAGTAAAGTGGAGCTTTCAACAATAAAATGAGAATGGCACTTCTTTTTTCCAACTTCTTTACCTTCGAGTCATCACTTTCGTTTTGCAGAGAAAATTTTCGCGTAGACGCGCAACAATAATGCACTGATGGTAAGCTGTGACCAGCGAGCGTTAAATAGCTTCCGTCAGAGCAGAGTCGCATTTACAATGAACCGGGGAAGGCTGGTGTCGTGCTCGTGAGAAATCGAAACGGCGCGGCTAACACGGTGGCTCCGACCTCACTACAGTATCATGTAATATAGTTATTTGCCCTCACTCACCTGTATTAAGCACCACGTGTATAGATGTAACCTCAGCGAATGCCTGGAATGAAAAAAACAATATGAAATTAATCAATAAGCTGGCGAATATTTGACATGTTAACTTGATTATTGTCTACACCAGTTCGGTACCCCTCCCCCCGCCCCCACAGGCGCACTTCAAAATTAGATGTTCCTCGTTCCACTCGGGATGAGTTCGGGGCGGCGCCATTCTGTCCCGCTCATTTCAGAAATCCCGTTTATTGGCATCTGCAGCCCGGTCAGCAGATAGAGACTCGGCCATTGTTCGGCCCGTGTCTTCGCGCGCCTAGCGAGCGAGCTCCGAGCCGCACGATTCGTCACCCCAGCTGCACTCAGGATGCACTTGGATGGATGGACATTGAACACAGCTTTTCCGAAAATTTGACACTGCGAGGGATGTTTTTACAAATACCTCGCGGAAAAATTGATCAGAACTTAACTAGGGAGCCATCGCTTTTCTGCTTTTATTTGGACAGGCACTAGTCCTTCAGGCCCCTCCCCCTTTCTCTCTCTCTCTCTCTCTCTCTCTCTCTCTCTCTCTCTCTCTCTCTTCTGTCGCCTGCGGAGATATGCGTCGTCTGAGTTGCCCTAGGACGCGGCCGCGGCGTCACTGCCAGCGGGAAGCGTTAGCTGGGTCAACTGCGGTGCCGCACCGGAGAGTTGCCGTTTCGTCCCAAAGAACTGTATCCGCCTCCAGCCCGAGGCGCATCCGCAGCGCAGCACCACGTCAACAAGTGCGTGAGCAAGCTTGGCAAAGCAGTGTTGTTTACGCATGATTTGCGCGAGTAAACTAAAGATAAGCTGATTTGAAGTATGAAGATAAAATTAGCGAACTTTTCGATGTCTCAGAGTACTGACAAGGTAAAACGAAGGCTTGTCAGTATTCTGCGAGAGCGACAAGTGAGCGGACCTTTCTTTTACGTGTTTAAACATGGGCTGCATGATGATAGGAAAAACGCTCTCGCGAAGCAAAAAAAAACGTGCAAAAAAACAAATAGATTCTTCTTAGAATATGGGATAACACCCAATTGGCGAGGTGGCGAGAAATAACGGTCATGGCCCTCTAGTGTTTTAAAAGAAAATCTATGGAGATGTTATGTTCGTAAAGCGCACGCCATTGGATGGTTTATTCAGGACACCCGTTAGCTTCGTTACCAATTCGGTTGCATTGTGCTTGGCGGCCCGGTCGATACATATGCGGATAATTAATAGCACGATCTCCCCCTCCCCTTTTCACCTGCCGTGGTCCTCCACGTGGTCCGCCCACGACACATCCCCCAGCAGCAGCAGGTGCTTTTTTCCCCTTTTCTTTCTCCCGCGCAATACGCTAACACCCGACAGTGCTGTTTCTGTTTTCGGCGTTACAGCGCAGTCTTTTTCCTACTGTTTACTATGAATATCCAACAGTAGAAAATAAACAGTCCCTCTCCTTTAACAGGGTACGACAAGATGTAGCAACAGTCGGAAATCTGTGTTCGACTGTGAAAAGAAACGAGATGAGCTAACTCTTGTATTATTTACAGTGACCACTGTTAATGATACAAAAGTAATGAAACGACGCAATCTGCTCGCAAATATGTGCGAAATGAATGTTTATTTATGTAGTATCGACTCCTTCCTGATGATCGCGTTGAGTCACACGAGGTACGGGGCGATGTAACGTTACCATTACCTGTTATCGCTTATTGCTGCTTTTCTTTTTTTAAGCGGATAAACACCAGCTTGTTATCGCTGCGCCACAAGCCCTCCTGCTCCCTCCTCCCTCCTCCCCCTCTCCCTCCGTCACCTCGGGGAGTCACGTTATAAAGGTCAGTAGAGTGCCATGCTGGGCGTGAGCCCCACTTTGATTCGGAGCTGATGCGCGTTGATGAGAGAGAGAGGGAGGGAGAGGAAGAAGGAAGAGACAGGGAGAGACAGGGATAGAGAGGAAGAAAAGGGGGAGAGGGGGAAGGGAGGAAGAGAAAGAGAGAGAAGGGGGGAGATGTGGCTGATGTGATGTGCTCGTCTGCAACCGTTCACTCTCACAGTAACACCCTCACCTTCACCTTGGTATCACAACCACGCAATCATGTGTCTACGTGTCACAATTATTATTCAAGAGAATTACTGTGTCAGTTTGCTGACAATTTTACATTAGATGTACCTAGAGAAGATAAAACCGGCAATTCGGGCTTTCAGATGAACGCAGTATTCCAGATTCACACAAATGCTCATCCTCCACCACATACGTCGCACGAGATCTTTTCTCCTCGCTCGTGCGTTCAAGTTCACAATAACTATGTGGTGCGGGTGAGGGCCCCGAGACCAGCCTCATAAAGTGCCGCGGGGCCAGGCCATGCCTCGGCGCGGTGCAATGACACTGCCCCCTCCCCCGAAACCACTCTTCTCCCGTCTTGGGATTTGTCGCCCCGTCGCCCGCCACCACCGCCCCCGCCTCCCCCTTCCTCATCTCTTTTCTCTCGGTACGCTTCGCGCCTGTCTGTCGTTACCTGAAATAAAGATGTCATCGTATACTAGCGTGAGTCACATCCCCCGAAGAACACCGAAAAAAATAAAAATAATGGCACTCTCCTAGATTAACGCAAAAATGGTGGTTGCGGATAAATTAACGAGCAAACGCCGCCTGCTTGGAGCCTGGAGCATACGTTAAATTGTCTTGCATAGGCGAAGCAAAATATGATCATCATTTGTCTAGATGCCATGGGACGTGACGTATCTAGGTAGAGGAGCATTAAATTATGAAACGCAATAAAAACTTGAATAACGAATGAAAGTGGAAATTTCAGTTATCTATACAAATTCAATGTTGTCCTAGTAAAGGGGTTGCCCGAATGAAACTGCAGAGCTGGTTTCATGTAAAAACCCTCGGCTCCGTGCGTTGATTAACAGCGGCCGAGCAGGTCCCTTACAGACGGACCCCGGCGGCCAGCAGCCCAGCAGCGCGCTATCACCACGAGCAACGAGCCACGAAAACGCGCGAAAAACACAGAAAAAAGGACAAAAAGCTTACATAGAGCTTGAGGCAGGGATCCGGAACGAAACTGGACAGCTTTGGAACACGTTCGGTTCGATCCTCTCGAGGCGATCTCGGAGCGATTGCAGCGATTGCCGAAAGAAAGACTTGACCGCATGGCCACTTCCGACCAAGTGGTCGCTTCTATGGGTGCCCCGGTGCCAACCGCTTTGTATCTCTCTCTCTCTCTCTCTCTGTAATAGCTGCACAACCATGGCAAGCGGTAGGGCGACACAGATGAACAATGTGAGGTTGCGACAAAACGTATCTGTGCCTCGTCCGCTATCGAATCGTTTGAGTACCAGATTCCAGTACCAGGTACTACTGCCAGATACCACAACGTGACCATTAATATATAAAAGAACAAAAGCACTCCAGTATCTGGACAGACAGCGTTGTAGGCTAACAGCTACAAGATTGAGCCATGCAGATATAAGCTATGTAAATGAGAAGTTTGCTGTGTTGGTTTTGTTTAAGTTGTAAGAAGCATCTTAACCACGAAACTTATGGTAAGGCTGGAGATCAGCAACAAATGATACTCACCTACAACCGCTCACAACAGCAAACTAAACGAAATACTGGTCTACTCCATGGTGCACACTTTATGGTGATTGGAAATTTGAATAGTGAAAAGTGTTTCACAGCACTTTAAAAAGTGTCCAAAGCTGCATGTCTAACTCTGATGTTGAGCACTTTCTTTTTGTTCGACCAATTTTGAGTATTCAAATATCCATTTAAACATATTACAGTAGGCAACGTAGTGTTTGAGCACTTAATTCTGCATGCCAGTTGCACAGTTTATTTTTGAGTGTTCCGAAGAGACACAAGGCCCCGCGCCCCACCCTCAGAAGGCCCTTGCCAGCAGTCCCCACAGGAGCACCCCGGAGGAGGCGGAGGCCCCCGCGCCCCGCCCGCGCCCCGCCCGCAAGGCACCCGCCCGCAGGCCCCTCAGGAAGGAGGTGGGTCGCCCTGCTAGCGGAAGGGAGCAGCGCAGTTTGCTGTACCGTTGTGACTTTTTGCTACTTGTCGGGCCTGTCGGTCGGGGCCTTACTGGTAACCCAGTTCGTCCGTCCTTCGCGCCCCGCCCCGCCCCGCCCCGCCCCCCGGGGCCCCTCGCGCTTGTTGACGCACCGATCATGATGCCTGATTTATTACGAAATGGTTGGCGGGAGCATTGTGCGGCCAGCAGCGCCTCTCGCACAGCGGGCCGACCCGAGGGGACGCGCCCCGCGGGCCAGCTGCGCCGCGCCGCGCCACGCCGGCCACGCCGGCCACACCGGCCACGCCCACAGAGGTGCATCGAGCATTACTCTGAGCAAGCTGATTGTTTGAAGGGAAGTTGTAGCGACGCCGTCCTGGCACCCGCGGGGGAAACGCTGACACACAGATTGATGGGCCTCATCGACCTACATACATAAATGCACTCAGACTGGAAGCAAACGCCAAACGTCACCTGAGTTTTTTTTTTTTCTGGAAAAGAATGCCGTTTGACAAAAGTCTAGTGGACACGGGCCGTAAACTTTATAATCTCTGTCAGTCGCGTGCTGAGCTGTCATGGGACGCCATACAATTTGACATATGAGCCGCGAAACTTGTATTTTCGTTTTATTACTTTTACTTCTAAACCAGAGTTTTCAGTGCTGCAGCCAGAAAAAAAAATGCATGGTTTTCAAATCCGAACTTGCTTGAACCAGCGTTTATGAAATATATACATGAACACCTGTAAAACAGAATCATGTCAAATGTGCTTGCGTTTGATTCCAAAGTACAGTGTGTCCTTTAAAATGCCACATACAATGTTCTTCGCACGACCCGTTCATTTCGTTATTATAACGCTTGTGAACGACCCGCCGCACACGCCCTCTGCCTCTGTGCACAAGTATACGTACCGCTCACGAGTATGGCTACTCGCGGGAGGCGGGGTGCGATCGCCATCGTAAATGTTGTTCACAAAAAGGGTCCCGGCCGGCGCATTCCGCATAGGTCCAGTTACTGCTCCATTTGACACC